TGCCATTCAATCTCAAATTTGCAGCTTCATTTTGCCAGTATTCTTGGAGTTACCTATTGCATTTTGAAGTTACCTATGTATTCTACCATTCAAAAGGCTGAAAGGGCAGCTGCAATCTGTCAAGTCAATTTAGAGCAGGAATAAAGACATGTGATAGGATACCTTGCATTATGACCTTGTAGAAAGGATCAGGGCTGATATGTGGACCCCAGCTGAATTCAGAGTGGCAGAGGACCCATGAAGAGCCAGTCTGGAGGTCAATCCATATTGCCCAGCATTCTGTCTCTGACAATGACCAAAAACAGATGTGGAAAGAAGAGTGTAGGAAGAAGGTAAATATGGCTCCCAAAATTATTTCCCTGCCATCCAGTTATTTGCAGCTCAAGGGCTTGTGGAGACAGCTGTATTTTCTCTATTTTATAGCATAGTGAGGATCTCTTCTGTGAGCTTTGCTAATCTCTCCTGGAAGTCCTGTAAATGTTTACACTCTACAGCACCTTGTGGCCAGCAGTACTGTAGCTTAAGTGACTGTATGAAGAACAACTCTCTTAGTTCTGGACTGCCTTCTTCAGAGTTTAATTTCACATTCCCATTTCTTTTCTTGGGAGAGTTAATGGCAAATCAATTCTTATACACCGTCTCTATGACACTTCTGATATTAAAGAACTCTGTCTTATTCCCCACGGTCTTTTCTTTTACCCTCCAAAGAGTCCTATTCTACTTAGTTATTTTTGGTACAGAAACTGCTCCTTGACTTTGATCTTTACTGAAACTTTTTAGCTCTGCTATAACCTGTTTGAGATGAGTAGCTCAGGAAAAGCTGCCTCTTCACTGTCTGCTCCTTTCCAGACTACTTAGTAGTATGTTAAACAATGCAGATGTCAGCACTTATCACTGAACTCCATTCAAGATCTCCTTTCACTCTGATGATTAAGCACCCCTTCCCTTCCCTTCCCTTCCCTTCCCTTCCCTTCCCTTCCCTTCCCTTCCCTTCCCTTCCCTTCCCTTCCCTTCCCTTC